AAGTGTTCCATACCCTTCCTCACAGGAAAATGGAACTTAATATTGCCTTCTTTCATATCAATCACGACACCGATAGTGCGTAAAAACGGTCTACCAAGAATAATTGGACAAGACGGATTGCAATCGATATCAAGAAAAATAAAATCTATGGGCACATAATTCCTTTTTGCATGAACAAGAACACCATTAATTCTTCCCATAGGCTTTTTAATAGTAGAATCCACCAAGTGTAAATCAAAGAACATTCTTCAAGATTGGTAAGACCAAGCACATCACATAAAGATTTCGGAATTGTGGAAACACTAGCACCCAAGTCACGCAAAGCAAAACACTCATATTTTTTAATCTTGACTCTGATAGTAGGTTCCCACTCATCATACAATTTTCTAGGAATTGAAACTTCTAATTCCAATTTTTCTTCAAAAGCTTTCATCATAGCATCAACAATATGTTTAGTAAAAGCTTTATTTTGTTCATAAGCATGGGTGAATTTATCATGGATTGCAACAAGGAAATGCAATCGATCAAAGAGCAACTATCATAATTAAAGTCTTTGTAATCCAAAATAGTGGGTGCATCACTAGCTAAAGTTTTGACCTCTCCAAACCCACTTTCATCAATTTTTTCAACAAGATTTTCACCCTCTGAAATATTGGGACGCCTTCTACCTAAAGTTGACTCTTCTCCAATCCCTTTTTCATCATTATTAACTTTACTAAATAAGGAATTAATAGAAGAAACACCAATCCTTTTAAGATCTTCATCACTTTTACAAGAATAATCACTAGAAAAAAGCTTTTTCCAAAAATTCTCTTTTAGCTCTAAGCATAGCAGTTCTTTTCTTACTTACATCCATAGAAACATAAAGAGCTTTAATTGATTCATCAACCTTAGGCACAAAAAAATTCATCTAGAGATTTTCCACATCATGAGTAATTCTATCAACACTTCTAGACAAATCATCAATCTTATTCAACTTTTCTTCTATGGAAGTGTTGAAAACTTTTTGTGTGTTGATAAATTCTTTATATTCCCAAGATCAGGGGTGTCCTATTATTATTATAAGATTGATTTCCGTAGGAATTACCATAACTATTAGAGGAATTACTAGGAAAAGGCCTAGGATTAAAATTACCTCTATAAGCATTGTTGTTGAAATTATTTCTAGAGATAAAATTCACATCAATAGCATCACTATTTGGCTCAATCAAAGTAGACAAAGGCATATCATTAAGATCAATAGGAGCACTACTACTAGCAACCAATTTCACAAGAGCATCAACTTTATCACTCAAAGAAGAAATTTCTTCAACCGAACTAACTTTTTTTACTAGTAGGAGCTCTTTCGCTACGCCATTGAGAATAATTTGCCATAATATTATCAAGCAATTTGATGGCTTCACCAAAATTAATTTCCATAAAAGTACCACCCGCGTCGGAATCTAAAAGATTACGAGAAATAAAAATCAATCACGCATAATTTTTTTGTATGATCATCCAAAGATTTAACCCATGATTTGGGAATTCCTTAGCATCATTTTCATCCTTTCCCAAGATTGCGCAACATTCCCATCTTCAAGTTGCTTGAAATTCCTGATCTGGGTTCTAAGGGAAATAATTTTTGTGGGAGGAAAATACTTAGTGATAAAAACATCTTTGCACTTATTCCAAGAATCGATACTATTGCGAGGCAAAGAAGAGAACCAATTTTTTGCAGAATCACACAAAGAGAACGAAAATAATTTCATCTTGACCACATCATTGTCCACATCTTTTTATTTTGCATATCGCATAATTTCACGAAGGTACTAAGATGGGACACGACATCCTCATTAGGAGTACCGGAAAATTGGTCTTTCATAACAAGATTCAGCAAAGCGGTATTAATATCACAAGTCTCCGCACTACTGGCGGGAGGAGCAAGCGGAGTGCCAATAAAATAATTGTTCTTGGTATTTGAGAAATCACATAACTTGGTGTTCTCTTGAGTCATGATGACCACACAACAAGATTGCACTCAAAGACAGATCCGACAAGAAAACGACGAACAGAAAAAGAGAGGCGAATAGAACAGCAAATTTTTGTGAAGTGGGGAGAGGAAAACGAGAGGCAAATGGAGAATAATGTAAATTGTGAGGAGATGAGATTTGTGATTAGGAACCTGGTTACGATGAAGATCCTCCCCGGCAACGGCGCCAGAAATTCTCCTTGATGGCAGCTGGAACTACGTCGGTATTTCCCCGGAGAGGGAGGGATGATGTAGCATAGCGACGGTAGAGTATTTCCCTCAATTATGAAACCAAGGTATCGAACCAGTAGGAGAACCAAGCAACACAACATAAACAGCCCCTGCACACAAATAACAACACCTCACAACCAGACATGTTAAAGGGGGTGTCACTCTCTTTCGGGTAACGGCGCCAGAAACGGCGTGTGACGGGAGACAAAGTTGTAAATATTGATAGATCGAACGCCAAATAAAATAAAGTGCAACAAAGTATTTTTGTATTTTTGATTTAATAGATCTGAAAATAAAAATAACGAAAAAGTAGATCGCAAAGGCAAATATATGAGAAATAAGATCCGGGGGCCGTAGGTTTCACTAGTGGCTTCTCTCGAGAAAAATAGCAAACTGTGGGTGAACAAATTATTGTTGGGAAATTGATAGAACTTCAAATAATTATGACGATATCCAGGCAGTGGTCATTACATAGGCATCACGTCCAAGATTAGTAGACCAACTCCTGCCTGCATCTACTACTATTACCCCACACATCGACCGCTATCCAGCATGCATCTAGTGTATTGAGTTCATGGAAAAACAGAGTAATGCAATAAGAACGATGACATGATGTAGACAAGATCCGCTTATCTATATGGCGGTAGATATAGATCTCGTCTTTTTATCCTTAGTAGCAACGATACATACGTGTCGGTTCCCTTTCTGTCACTGGGATCAAGCACCGTAAGATCGAACCCACTATCGGGCACCTCTTCCCATTGCAAGATAAATAAATCGAGTTGGCCAGACAAAACCCAAATATCGGAGAAGAAACACGAGGCTATAAGAGATCATGCATAAAAGAGATCAAAGAAACTCAAATACTTTTATGGATATAAAAACATAGATCTGATTATAAACTCGAAGTTCATCGATCCCAACAAACACACCGCAAAAGAGTTACGTCATATGGATCTCCAAGAGACCATTGTATTGAGGAGAGAGAGAGAGAGAGAGAGAGAGAGAGAGAGAGAGAGAGAGAGAGATGAAGCCATCTAGCTACTAACTACGGACCCGAAGGACTACAAAGAACTACTCACGTATCATCAGAGAGGCACCAATGGAAGTGGTGAACCCCTCCGTGATGGTGTTTAGATTGGATCTGGTGTTTCTAGACTCTGCGGCGGCTGGATAAATATTTTGTCGACTCCCCTAGGGTTTTGGAAATGTTTGGGTATTTATAGAGCAAAGAGGCGGTCCCGGGGGCACCCGAGGTGGGCACAACCCACCGGGGCGCGCCAGGGCCTCCTGGCGCGCCCTGGTGGGTTGTGCCCCCCTCGGGGCACCCCCTAGGTGCAACCAGGGCCCATCTGCTTCCTTTTGGCCCATAAAAAATCATCGCCTTTTGGCCCACTCCGTTTGATAGCGATTTCATGCGATGTAAAAAACAGGAATTGACACTGGGCACCATGTCAATAGGTTAGTACCAAAAATGATATAAAATTACTATAGAATGATTATAAAACATTCAAGATTGATAATAAAATAACATGGAACAATCAAAAAAATATAGATACGTTAGAGATGTATCAACCGACCCCGCCAACCCGGACATCCGGCCCTCGGCGAAAGCCCGGACATCCGGCCCGTCGCCCGGACATCCGGCATCCCCTGTCTGCGTATAGTGTAGGGCCGAGGCCCATGTACCCCTTCGACCCCCTAGACTATATATACTCCTCCTCCTCCCTCTTTCCAGGGTCAGCGTTGTGTTAGCTCATATGTGAGATAGAGCTTCGCTCATCCATCCGGATCTACTCCATCGTGAGGGACCGTCGCCTCTTCGGAGAAGATCCATCTTGGATTCAAGACCCCTAACGGAAAGACATCAAGACCTCCTCACGGAGAAGAACCAGTTATCCTTTGTATCGTCCCTTGTTGACTTTGGATCGTGTATCTCTATTTGTGTTTCGAGAATCTAGCACATGTGTGATCGTTTCTTGTTGATTTAAGTGATTTTCTCGTGTTTCCCTCATGATTTCTCCTTGTGTTCTTCGTGTTCATCGCGGGATCCGCTTCTTTTGTAAAAGATCGGCATCTATACCTCAGAGGACCCGCTTCCATAAAATTCATACTTCACCAGAAACCATTTCTATCTGTCAAAAAAGTTCACTGTCCAAAGCTGTTTTTTAGAGAACTTCCAAAGCTATTGTCACTAAAAAAACTGTATGCAAGTTCGAAAAAAAGAACTTTATGTGCCGTCGTAGTGGGCCGAAAATATTAGATGGAAAGAAGAAAGCGGCAGAGGAAAATGGCATTGGGCTGCTACTCCCTCGACGCGAGCCCACAGGGCAAAGAACGTGCAATCATGATGCAGCGCACTACATTGACAGGGTCCGATGACGACGACGTCTTCCATTTGCCCACTCGGCCCCGCGGCACCAACCTCCTCAACACGCAAGCGCCGTTGTAGACACTGCCACCCGGACCCACCATATCGGCGTCGCCGTCACGCACGTTCCTCAGACTGGCCTAGAATAACTGACAGGTATGGCCACGATGCAACCCTAAGCAGAGGGACCCACGCGTCATGGACCCAAAGCGGAGCCGCGCATCCAGATATTTCCGCGCCCCCAACCCCGCACCACGCGCGATTCACAAAGAGGAGGAGAAAGAAGCCTCTCCTTTTCCAGCAGAGCCTTTCCCCATCTCTCCCCACAACCGCCGCCGCCCATCGCGCACAGAAACCACGCTCCAAGACACCAAAACCCACCGATCCCCCATGGAGAACGGCGACGAAACCCTCGTCTCCCCCACCGCTGAGGCCGAGAAGGCTGCGCCCAACGGAGGCGTCGCGGGCGAGGAGGTCACCCTCGCCGACGCCGTCCACCCCGCCAAGTCCTACGCCGCCGTCGCCGCCAACGCCGAGATCGAGGACCTCCGCGCCACCAAGCTCGACCTCGAGGAGCAGCTCGCCAACGCCAGCCAGGAGAACAAGACCCTCGCCGCGGAGGCCCACCGCCTCGAAGGCCTCTTCTCCCAGGCTCGGGACGACGTCGCCACCGCCGAGCACGCCGCCGCCACCACCGAAGAAGAGGTGGCCTCGCTCCGCGCCGAGGTCGAGCGCCTCCAGGCCCTCCTCGACCGCAAGAAGGCCGACCGTGAGGCGGACGAGCGCCAACGCCAGGAGCTCACGGCCGAGGTGGAGACCGTTCGTCAGGCGAAGCTCAATCTCGAGAAGGAGGTCGACGCCCTGAAGGCTTCCGCCGCTGCTACCACCGTGGAGGACAGGGAGGCTGCTCCGGACGCTGGGGCCCCGAAGGAAGAGGGAGTCGCCTGGCAGGGGATGGCAGCGGGGGCGGCCGCTGGTGCTGCCATCACAGCTGCCGTCGTTCTGATCTACCTCCGCCTCAAGAGGTAATCTGATGCTCTGGTGCGCAGGAAGTTTTGCTCTGCTGCTACAGCTTATGGAAGATTTGATGAGTTTGTCGTGGTGATGCTGTTACTACCGAACCGAGAGTAATATGTCTTCTATCAGTTAGTTGCTTAATAGACTACAAAAACTTAGGTAATCTGGAGAATGGTTATGTTTCATCCGTGTTTTTCCTTAATCATCTACGGGCTTTTGGTGGTGACGGTGAATGTGTAGACACTTTGTCAACCGAGCAAGGCTGTATGCTTGGTTATACTATTATCGTTATGGTTGCTGGCTTACTGCTGCGGTTCTGCACTTTATTTCCGTCTCTGATCTATCCATTCATGGTTATTAATGGTTTGCATCTCTAGATGATTGCTTGATGGTATGTAGACATCTCTATTCTTACCAATGCGTGAAATGAGTTCAACTGTTTGACATGTTACAACTTATTACTTCGTTTCCTGCCATTTGATGATTGTTGGATTTAGTACTAGTGGAATCTTGTTATGTTCTAGTATTTGTTTCATCACCCAAATGTATGGAAATTTAGTTGGATGATTTAGCTTTGGTGCCGTGGTATGCGTCATGTTGTTCCTTGCACATAAGCAATGAAAATGCCTTGCATGCTGATTGCTGTTTAAACTGAAAGCTGCTTTTAACAGTACTTCCTTTGCAAAATGACGATTTTATGGAATCTGGATTTCCCCTTCCGTGAATTCGTTGCTGGTGTGACCTGTGCTTTCTTGTTTACTCATGATGCTTGTTAGAGCTTTGCTTCCATTTGGATTTTGTGGTTGTAGAATTCCTTCACCTTTATCCGTTTTATTGCTTGCCTTGTGGATGTTGGTAGTTTAAATATTGGTGTTCACTTTTAATTTTAGACAGTGACATGTTTTGTTTACATGTTTTCCTTGTGTGACCGGTATCTATGCATATGCCTTTCTTGGGCACGTGAATGGTCATGCCCTCTTGCGACTATGTGGTTGGCATTGCTGCTTCATTTCTGCATCACATCTATGCATGAGGCATGTTATATGTTTGTTATTGCTGGTTTGGCAACTGTATGCTTTAGGCTTAAGTTAGTTGAGGGATGCATTTAATCTGCAAATGTGTTATACAGAGCCATTTGTTGGGGCCATGAATGGCACACCCTCTTGTGATTGTGTGGTTGGCATTGCTACTTTATTTCATTTTGTACTCTTGGCATGCTGTATATTTGTGATCACTGGTTTAGCAAGTGTATGCTGCAAGGCTTAAGTACTTGAGTTATGCATATGTTCTGTATATATAAATGTGTTATGCCGATAGAGCCATATTGCTAATTTGTCCCACTGTTTCTTTTCGGATATATCATATATAAATTCATTTTGTATTGCTATTTGGTCCCTCCCGAGTGTCTGCATGTCGTAGTTCCCATCACCAGACTTCTATCATCTCCTTGGACTGATTGTCAATATCTGAACATGGCTGGATTTGCCTTTACTGTTTGTTGCCATTGTAGAGCTTTCTGTATCATGGTTGTTAGCATATTTTGATTCTGATTTACAGATTGTGGGGATTTGGGTCCATAGTATTGTTTGGTAGAACTCTCATTTGATTTGCTTCTTTCAACTTCATTGTTATTGAATATGGCTGTCAATAGGTACCACCAAAGCTTGTTCAATTTTCTAGATTGTCTGATATGCCATTTGTCAGGCTACTTCATTTGATATTTTTTTCATCTGAATGTAATTACCGCCTGGTAAATGCCTTCCGTAGCAGTCCATGAGATTATCGTACCTGATCTGTTTATTGGGGGTACCTATGCTCCTCATTTAACTAAGGGTGTGTTTGGATTGTGGCCAAAATAGACCATGCCAATTAATTGCTCACGTGCTCTAGCGCCACCGTCGCAGCCCATATGAATGGTCAGACGTTTGTTTTTTGTGTTCTCTGTGCACTCCTAGTTTCATTCTCTAGAGTTCCGATGATGGTTTTCTAATTCAATACCACTGCTGTTGTGTTTATTTTTCGGTACAGTAGGCTGATGTGTGTCTTTTACTATATTTTAATGAAAAAAAAGTCCATTTTACTCCCCTGAACAAAGTGGGTGGTTCACTTTACCCCTGATCTATATTTTGGTTCCTTCTACACCCCAAACAAAACCAAACCGGACAGAAAAAAAACCGCTGGTTTGTCTCCATTGGATGCTGATGTGGCACAGTCAAAGGGCGGTTTTGACCGTGGTGGGGCCTACTTGTCAGGTTGGATTGTTATAGAGCTGCCGTTTCCTGTTGCGATCTGGATCAGAAATCCCCTCTTCCCAGTCCAAATCCCTAACCCTATTTTACATGGGCGGCGGCAGCGTTAGCTCCACCATTGTGTCGCCGGACGCCGTGAGCGCCGCCGGCGATGGAGGCGCGGCCCCGGTCGTCGCAGCAGCCCAGGCGAGCCGTAGCTTGCTGGAATGTCGGTTCCCGCAGGAGGTGTGGCGGCCGGGAGAGCCGGAGCTCCGTCGAGAGGCGAGCCATGTCCTGATCTCCCGCACTCCGGCCATGGATGCGCTGGAGCTGCGCTTCGGGCGGCACGTGCTTCTGGCAACTGCGGTCGGAGACCGCGAGCAGACAGTGACGCCGACAACCATGCTGGCGACCTTGTAGCAGCATTGCGGGGTGGTGCCGTCCGAGGTGGTCGTCGAGTTCGCGTGCCCACCACACGACCTGTGGCTGACCTTCTCGACGGAGGAGAAGTGCTCTGAGGTGCTCCTTTCATCAATGAAGATCAAGTGTTGCCGGCGTTGGATTCAGTTTTCGCGTTAGTGCAGAATGGTTCGATCTCAGCCAGGTGCTTTGAAGTACAAGAGCAAGCTCGGCTTTGAAGGCCTCCCAAACCAGGCCTGGACGACGGCGTCCGTGAAAGATGTTCTCAAGCAGCTGGGTGATGAGCTGATCGAGATCCTGCCGCCGGCAAGCCGCCGCGAGCTTGAGGTCATGGCGTGGCTTCGTGACCCTTCCTTTGTTGGCAAGGTGGTGACGGTGGAGATACCTGAGTCGAAGCTGACAAACAAGCCACGAGTCCATGGATGAGGATGAAGCAATGCAATTCGAATTGGGTGACTACGGACCGTCGTCGCCGAGGAAGAAGAACAACTTACTGTATCCTGTCATTTGCCACATGAAGGAGGTTGTTGATCGTGGTCCTCTGCTTGCTGAAGGACTGCCTGATGAGTGGCTGCCAGGAGAAGCCGAGGACCTGACTCACAAGCATATCTTCAAGACTGTGCTGGGCAAGATCGACGACACTGACGGTGATGAAGGAGTTTGAGTTTGTGTCCTGTTATATTTGGCACTTTGGCTTTCCACTTGGTTCATTGTACCGTGTTAACAATCTGTAGTGTTGTACTGTGTGTTCAGTTCTATTTTGTGCTCGTTGTTGCGGTGAAGCAACTGTATTGCCAAAATTGTTCCAAATATTTGTGTAATGTGCTGGTACTATGTTGTCTTGTGAAATGGTACAATTATGAGCTTATTTGTTTGTGCCAAAAGTGAACATATTTTGCCAAGCTTCTATCGAAAGGAAATTTCTTTCAAAAGAGAACATAGTAAACAGTAGCATTCAACTAAACGCAAATTCTGCAGCTTAGCAGTAACAAACACTAGTTCCTCAAACAGAAATTGTGCAGTTTAACAGCAACAAACACAAGTTCATCAAACAGCAACAAACACAATTTGAAGGCTCTAAACAACAGAAATTTTCCTGCTTAACCCCTTAGTTCATCAAACATGCTAACCCTGGTTGATTTCCTCCTTCTCTGACTAGAACTACCACCAGCTATTCTGTTTGCTTGCTTTGGAGGCCTTCCCCTTCTAGGCTGTGCTGTCCCTCCTGTAGCTTGCTGTGATGTTTGAGCTGCATGCTGTGAAGACTGGGCTGTAGCAATTTCATTTGCTACTCTTTGAGATGTCCTTGGAGGATTTTCCTATACAACACAGAAAAGTAACAGTTGTTAGGTGTTTCACATTGCTGCAATTTCACAAGTACAAAACATATAGAAATCAAACATATGTAAAAATCATTACACACTTTTGTTTCTTTTTTCCTTTTCTTTTTCCTCTTCCTATTCTTGTACTTTCCCTTGTTGGGGTTAGTATTGCATTTCCTCATGTTGTGCCGAGGATTTCCACATAAACTACACTTGATCTTAGTTCCAATCTTGGAGAGTTTGTGTGCATGCTTAGGAGGCTCATCTCCACCTCTTATTCTTTCTGTACTGGGCCTCCCAGACATTTGCACATAGCTTGGAACTAATGGTCTAGGTCTGTCAGATATTGGCCAGCTAGGCATGCCCTCCATTAGCATCATGACATGTTCATATGTCTTGTTGTAAGCTTCAATTCTGTAGCAAGGTGCAATAAGTGAATCTATGTCATCAGGGCCACACTGTGAAGCTGCTAGAGCATGAACACATGGAATTCCTGACAATTGCCAGTATCTACAAGAACATGTTCCTGCTTGCAAGTCAACTTTGAATCCATGCTGTCCTAACTTCACCTCATATCCATCTTTTCCATTCCATATTGTCTCACACTTCTCAGTAAGTTGTATCAACTTGTTCACCTTTTTGAGGATTTTGGGACAAATTGTTCCATTCCAATTGGTAGGCATAGCTCTATTAACTTGAATCCTAACTGTCACCTTTGCTCTGATTGCTTCAAACATACTGATGATAGGAAGACCTCTATATTCCACTATCCAATTGTTAAAACTTTCACACATATTGTTGTCGACTGAATCACAGAATGATCCTTATTTGAGCCATGCTCTACACCAATGTTCAGGCCCAGCCTGCATCATGTCTCTTGCTCCTTCTGGTGTGAGCTGAGCAAGCTTTGCCCTGTTCAAATTAAACTGAACTCTGTTAGAAGACTTTGCACAAGCCCAAAATCTCTTCTGGTATTTCTGGTCCCTATGTTTTTTCTTCCAGTTAGCATAAATGTGCCTAGCACAATTTCTGTGTTCAGCTCTTGATACAACCTTTGAAATTGCATTGATTAGACCTTTCTGCTAATCTGATATAAACACCCAGCCTTCACCTTGATTTGAAATCTCCAAGTCTTTATTTAACAATGCCATAAACCAAAACCAGGAGTCCTTATTTTCCACCTCAACTGCCGCCCAAGCAATGCGATACATTTGTCCATTTGCATCTCTTCCAAGAGCACAGAGTAGCTCTCCACTTTGAGCCCCCTTAAAGAAGCAGCCATCCAAACCCACTACTTTCCTGCACCCTTCTATGAAACCTCTCTTGCAAGCCTGAAAGCACACATACAATCTTTGAAAAACTGGTGCAATTTCTTTTGGATTAAGCACAACTGCCACAGTGCTTCCTGGATTGCTCCTCAGTATTTCTAGCTGATAATCAAACACCCTGGAATATTCTTCATGCATTGCTTCTCTAACTCTCTTTCTGACTAATGCTTTTGCTTTCTTTATTTTGGAAACATGCACATCTGCAAACATCTCTAATCTGACGGTGGCCTTAATAGATTTCACTTTCCATCTTGGATTTGCCTTCATAATTCTCTCATACTTGTCTGCAATTCTAGGTGCAGTAACCAATCTGTTGTCTCTCCTCTGTGGGCATATGTGGTTGTCAACAAGTGTTATGACTTGAAACCAATCATTTGAGCTCCTCTTTGCACCATAAATCAACCAAGAACACTTAGGCCAAGAACATTTTTCCCTGATCCTACCAGCCTCATCTTTTACAAAGCAAATATGCCTCTTCATAGCCAGGCCATACTTCACGAGTGCCCTCTTGAACTGACATCTTCCTCTAAATGTCATGCCCAAACTGAATATTGGAATTGCAGCCTTGTTATCAAATCTTGGAAATCTTGATTTCATCCTAAATGAATTTCCATGCTCATCCTCATCATAACTGTATTCCTCACTGGAATCCATGTATGGAGTGTCATTTCCTTCGCCCATTTCATCAAAAGGAATTAACTGTGCTGTACTTTCTTTCACTTCCTTCTCTTCATCAAGTGGCAACCCCATTCTGATCTTTCCGAGCACTTCCTTAGCATGCTTTCTGAGCTCCTCTGCCTCATCATCTTCACCTGATCTGTCTTCATCTTTAGGGCACCAATCAAGATCTGCACATTCATCACTTATTTCATCAGGTGCAACATCTACTTCAGGAACATTTGCAGTTTCAGGTTGCAATTCATCTTGTACATCATACTCAGTCTTGTCAGGCTCATCCACATCTTCCTCTGAACTGTGCTCCAGGTCATCCTCAGCAGAGCAATTATCATGCTCATCTTCCCAATCACTGTCACTCTTCTCTTCTGTCTTGTCTTCTTCAATTGCAGCATTAGTTTCCTTTTCCTCTTTCTCTCCAATATCAGACACACTGTTCTGTCCATCTTCGTCAACATCATCTTCATAATTCACATACACATCCACAACCCCACAATCTGTAATACACATATCCATGAAGAACACATTTCTATCAGTGTCCAGTCGTCTCAACCCATCTCTAACATTTTTTCCAGGAAACAACCAGTAAAGCCTGTGCTTCTCTGTTAGCTCTTCACCATGGTAGGCCATCTTTATATCTGCTAACTGCTCCCTGACAGTAGCTAAGGATATATTGTACCTCTCAACAGATGTGAGCTGTATATTACCACCAACATATGACAATTGCTTGTTTGACTTCTCAAATTGGCCATTGTAAAAGAAACAGATGCCTAACCAATCTAGTTGATCCATTGCTTAACCTACAGATTAAAACAACGTTCAATCTTCAATTATAACCTACATACAGCAGCTAACTAGAGCAGAGTAAGTACACCAAGGGAAGGGGATTGGAGGGATGGGACTCACCTCAGTTCGTCTGCGCCGCCGCGAAATCAGACAGACCGCAGCAGCCGCTGCCGCATCGACAGAGCCGTCGACCTAGGGTTTGAGGACGGGGGAGAGAGCGGCCGTGGGAGAAGGAACAGGTCGGGGAAGATTGACGGGTTGCACCGCCGCCGCCACCGCCAACACCAAGACTCCGACCACCGTTGCTGGTCGGAGTTCAGCGCTGCCCCGAGGGAGCCATCAACGGCGACATGGGGGAGAAGAAGAAAGGGATTTCGATCTCTTTCTGATCCAGAACGCAACGGGGAACGACAGCGTGTAATAGTCCAACCTGACGAGTAGGCCCCACCACGGTCAAAACCATCCATTGGCTGTGCCACATCAGCATCCAATGAAGACAAACCAGCCGGGCGTTTTATCGTCCGGTTTGGTTTTGTTTAGGGTGTAGAAGGAACCAAAATATAGATCAGGGAGTAAAGTGAACCACCCACTTTGTTAAGGGGAGTAAAATGAACTTTTTTCTATTTTAATTTACAAGTGGCTCGCTACTTAGAAGAGCTTGTACGATTAGAGGTTCTATTGTTTGATTGTATAATTTTCACGAGGCTTCACTTGCTCGATCTTCTACATAACCTGTGTTTTCCTCTTTACTACACAAGGTTCTATTTATGCGGAGGTCTTTTGGTTTGAGGCGATCGAGGCCTTCTGATAGCGAGGAAATGGTTGTTTAAGTTCATGAGTCGTAACATGGTGCAGTAGACTTGTAGTTCAAACTAAAATCGTGACACTTATTTTTGAAATGGAGGGAGTACAGGCAAGGGACACGTATGCAACTCGGACACTGATGCGAGAGTCCGCCATCCAAAGCTAGCGGCATACATCCGCTCATATTTTTCTGCTAAAAAGTCTGCATATATCCGCATGTTCTCATTTTTTTCTTCTAAAAAGTCCGCATATATCTGCACGATCACATACTTAGTTTCAGTTTACCAAAAAAAATGCTTAAATGCGGCAGTTCCAAGTTAAATATTACACTCCATCAATATCAATGTTGTTCTATATAACTGCCAATGATTGCTTAATCAAATCTTTTTTCAGTTTTTCATGAGTTGTTTGATGCCGATTTTTAATGTGGCGTTCGATTTGATCACCTATATTTTCAAATTCAAGACCTATGAGAGCATACTCACAGTCATTCTTCACGATCATGCTGTGC